AATCTATTAGTCGTCCAGTAGGCACCTTATATTTATTATAGTACTCCGCACTTACTCTACTCTTCACGCGAAACCCAAATAATTCTCTTATTTAATTTCTGCAGTTTCTATGAAGTCTTCCTCTCGTCCTATTTATACGATATGTAACTTTTGAACATGCTGCTCTTGTGGACAAACGATAAAACCCTCAGTAGCGTCTTAGCTTAATATGCCAAAACAGACCAACCCCCTCCCGAAGGCGAAAGTAAACTGTAAACCTAGTGTCTGCCAAGAATATTTATGTAGCATAACCTTATCCGGTTTTTGTTAGCACGGGGTGACAAATCGATCTTCGACCCCAAAGAACCGTAATACGATATAGTTTAGACTATGATTACAGCTAACATATAGCCGCCCATTGTAAATACCCCCATTGTGATATACCTCTTCTTGGAAACCGGTCTTACCGAAGTCTCGTCCAAATCATATTACTCGTATTGGACCGAGGTTCCGACGTCGAGACGTCGGTTTGTTACCCAACGCAAATAACGAACCACACCCATATAGTGCACTCGTTTAAGCGAGTGGGACTGGGTACCGCACCAACTCCTTCCAGAGGTCTCAGGAGAGGGAGTGTCAGCGCCAAACCGGATGACGAAGTCGTCGAAAGTTTCAGAGACAAGACGAACGTCACTCGCCTCCTAGAGTCGACATGACCACCAAAGGAGTGTTTTAGAGAGACCATCCATCAAAGTCGATACCCGTCGCGTCTACAGTTAGTCCAAGCCGAAATACTCTCTACTTATGGGTGTTCTGGACAATGTGTACTTGTGCGAGCCAAGTGTAATGGTATCTTTTTCAATATTTTGAAAACTTATGAAAAGCAGACCGCAATGTCGTTGCCATTACAACGGTGGCGATAAGACCGAAAAGTCCGGGACATCTTAATAGACTACATCTTTAGGACGGAGCCAAAGTGACTATTATTTGCTTCTACGTCTATAATTAAACAAAGAGTTCTGTTTCGTCGTCACAACCAAAGATCAAGACGTTAGAAGGTCACTATTTCTTTATAGGACTGTGTCGTACACAATCAAAACTCTAATCGCACGACACTCCATAAACACCTAAAACTTACTTCCGGTTCTCCACCCTCGGCCTAATGACAGAGAATAATATAAATAGACCACAAGGACCTTTCAAAATCTTACCCGTAGTTTCGTATGAGACCATGCGGTACTGAGTTAGAAACATTGAAAGCACACAATGTACCACTCTTTTACTTCAGAAACATCAATGGGGGGGATAAGATGAGGCCACATCTGAAGACTACACACAAATATGACTCAACCAACATTTTTACATCGTATAAATGAATTGCCCGCTTCTAGACATCTATTACATCGAGTTTAATGTACCTTATCATCAGAATCAGAATCAGAATACCTTTATTATTCCCACAGAGGGGAAATTTGCAGCGTTACAGCAGGAAAGAGCCACAGACAGCTAAGTGTTGCATATCTGAAATGCGTTAAAAAAAGAAAAAAAAAAAGGAAATCATCATTCATTTTCAGGTGTTATGTATTGCCTTAAAAGCATATCATTAAGTTATTTACCTAATTCCAATTACATTGAGGTGCCCAACTGTAAAAAGCACAGTTAAAGCCAGTTTATTTTCTAAGGCTCAAGAAAAAAGACCCAAAGATACATCTGTAGTCCCACAGTAGATGTCATTTGCAATGTGGTTGACGAATGGTAGCGTGTTGTTTTGTACTACACATAGGATTAAATAATAATTGTAATCAATTTGAATAGTTTCCACTTCAAACAAAGGAATATTTTCCGTCATGCATGCCGGCTTCTGTTCGGCAACTATGGCACAGTCGGCACTTGGCTTCAAAGACCCGCCTCCTTGTTGAGCCCTCATTGGCTCCCTGAGCGATGTCCCATGTTCTAGCATCACTGATCAAGAAGAGAGACAGCAGGCATTTCTCTGCTTTAGCTCCGAATATCCCTGTAATGTTTTTCATGTCTATAAAAAGCGGTTGTTTTTTTGGAGCTCAGGCTTTAATAATGGCTCCTTTCTGGCAAGGCACGCAGTTTCCCGACAGTCCACTCAGCTGGGGCCTACTGCAGGCTGTGCTGTGTTGATAATACATTTAGCTGATGAGTGTAGATTGTGCTCTCCACTGATCTACTTCTCATTAGTGTACGTGCACATTGGCCCGTGTTTATTCCTGTGTGGGTATCTTTGTGTTGTTCTTACATCTATGTATGAAAGTGAGCTCTTATTTTTGAGTGTGACTCCCATGTTATCTGTCTCTGTAGATTCCTCGCTACATTCTTACACTCCACGAACTCCTGGCCCACACACCCCATGAACATGTAGAAAGAACCAGTCTGGACTACGCCAAATCCAAGCTGGAGGAGCTTTCCAGGTACTTTTGTATAAAGACATTTAAATCAAGACTTCAACTGAGCGACACCTCTTTTCACAGCATACTGGTCAAATGTCAGGTTTTTTAAACAATAAGAGTGCATTTTATGTTATGCCACACATTTGTAGATAGATACATTTACATCTAGCAAATAGTCACACAAACGGTAGTATAACCAAAATAAATATCAACTGTATAACGTAAAATTGAGTACATACAACTTGCATTACTGAAGGCAACTCGGATTACTTTATTAACTTTCTTACATATCATTTATCTTGTTCAAATATTGGCAAATACTGTAAATCCAAATCATGCTAAATTCATAAGATTAACAGCAATAATTCCTGTGGTTATTCTCATTTGTGTGTTTCATTTTATTCTGGATTTAGTACAGATTTAATGAGATTGATTCAATGTTTATTTTCCCCAGAATCATGCACGATGAAGTGAGCGAGACCGAGAACATCAGGAAGAACCTGGCAATAGAGCGCATGATCGTAGAGGGCTGTGAGATTCTTCTTGACACCAGCCAGACGTTTGTAAGACAAGGTAACTCCTGCCTTCAAGTACTGTACTTCAGATCCCAGTGAGGAAAAGCAGGATCTCAGCAGAGGGGATTGCCTGTCCCTCCTTACCTGTCTGACAGCCTGATCTCACACCTCAGCCCTGTATTGAGGGGGAAATTCTTTTCTTAGAAAAAAAGGCCAATCCCTCTCTCTCTGGGGAAAAATGTACTCCTCATGAGTCTTTAATTTCCAAGTGTAATTAGACTGTTCAGAGGCAAACTGATGATGAAACTGGGACTGTAAATGTCAAACGTCCCCAACAGGCCTCGACGGGTGAGCAGAGGGAATACAGAAATTACATTATTTAATCCTTAGTGTCTCATGTGACTCTGCATGTATTCAAATGTAAAGGAAGCAAGACAACCAGTTTTTTAAAAACATTTTCTTCCATTTCTTGTCATTGCCTCTTTTCCACTAGCATATGTGTCTTTCTCCCTCTCTCTTCCTCCTGCCTCCTTCTATTTACACACACTCTTTTTTTCCCACATACAGGGTCTCTCATCCAGGTGCCGATGAGCGAGAAGGTCAAAATCACCCGTGGGCGACTGGGTTCTCTGTCTCTGAAGAAGGAGGGGGAGAGGCAGTGCTTTCTCTTCTCCAAGCATGTAATCATCTGCACCAGGGGATCTGGGGGAAAGCTTCATCTCACCAAGGTGGGCCTGAGCTGCTGAGCTAGCAGTGGAGTTGCTCCTTATTTCAAACATCACAACCTTAAGGCACCGCAAAAAAAATGAATCTCTGAGCTAAATTGAACGGATTAACTGACAGGAGATGAAAGCTCAAGGGTTAGTGATGTCGTGGCTTTTATCAATGGCGATGACCGCTGACGCACTCATGAGCACACACACACACACACACACACACACACACACACACACACACACACACACACACACACACACACACACACACACACACTATACACACATTCAAACTGCATGTGAGTTGAAGAGAGGTGAACGTGAAAGACTGAATTTGCTCAGAAAATGAGACAGGAGACAGTTGTGAGAGATACAAGGAAGCATTGAGGAATCTCTTTCTTTTATTCTCACTGAAACGTTCGCCTCTTGTTGCCGTCACAGCTGCAGCCCCCCCACAGCTTTAAAGGCTTGGCTGTGATGCTTGTCAGTGTGTTAATGGCTGCTCAGTGCATCTGTGGCTACAGTATCAGAAAGTCATCAAAAGAGTGGTGCAGGGATGACGTATTTGTGTCGGACGAGTTAGCATCACAAGGGACAAAAACATGGGACTGGATTTTGGAATATTGCATAAAATAATCTCTGTGACAAACACATGTTTATGATACTTACACGCTTTGTTCGGCAGGATAATCTGCACGTATTAACACCACTTTTATGAGTTGTGAAGCGTAAATGCCATCCCAAGGAATAAAAAGCTAACGTTAGGCAATAAAGGAACTACATCACGGTCACATTCATCACGCCAATCACCATCGCTAAGCTAAAGGCGGCTAATGATCGGCGTGATGATGTTTACTAGTCTCATTTAGACACTTTTTAGCAACTGCATTTTTTAAGACACGTAGAAGCTTTAGATATTCAGAAGTTGTGTATACTTATGTATTTTATGTTGTAGATTCAAAAAACGTTAACTTTGAGACGAGGGAACCAAAAGTCGTATCATGCTGACTCATCTCTGGGTTTTAGGACTCATTTTTGCACCACTCAATAACAGCTTTAATTGATGGACTGAAAGGTCAGATTCCATGTGTTGTTAAAGTATCTCAGGGCCCCTGGCTAACCTTACAGGCGTGTATTTGATATCAAAATGAATTCAGTTCGAAGAAAGGTGTGGTACAAATGGAAATGGCATCAGAAAAGCGGTGTATCACGGGTCTGTGTCCTCTGGCCCTTTTTGATCTCACGGCTGGTGCGATCCTATTTGAAAGACCGTCCATTGTTTCATCCATTTAGACATTAGTGTGAAATTGTCGTAATTAACATTTTCATTATTGAGTTACGGTCAATTAGGTGTTTTATGAGGTCACAGTGACTTTGGCCTTCAACTCCCAAAATCCTAATCAGTTCATACGCCTCCGCCTTAGAGCAAACAATGAAATGGCAATCCATCAGACACTTGCTAAAGGGTTAGTGCGGATTCACAAACTAACCGATTAAGGCCGCAGTAGAACAAAAACTTGGCAGAATTACTGTTTTGTTGTCAATAGTCTGGTGGTTTTAGTGAGAGGAAAGAAACGACTTTAGCTACCCATTTGAAAGAGGTTGTCGTATGACAGCAAATAAATCTAAATATTAAAAATGTAGCTGTCCCTTTTTCCAGTTGCTAAAATACGTGAGCATTAAAGCTGATGCTCCCGTCCACAGCAGTACAATGGTTTTGCATGTCATAACTTCTTCCAAAAAACCCCAATCAGACTAGCAATGAGCCATTATGCTTATAAGGTGTAGCTTAACTTAGTGAAGTGTCTTTAACATGTAACATTAACAACAATATATGAGCACATGGTTGCTAGCATTAGCATTAGCAACTGCCTCTTGAGTGATAGCAAAGCCAAGTGCTCAAAAACAGGTAGAAGGAAGATTAGCGAATACCAGCGGAGATCAGCAACAGGTAACTAAACTCTCCCTCTCTGCCTCACCCGGGACCCTCACCCCTTTAAACCCCCCCCCCTTCCTACCACCCCCCTCCAAACCGCATATATCAATTCCTTTAGATGCTTCCCCCTCACACAATTGAAGTAACTAGGATTTTTGCGCTTCGGCCTCAGTTGGATATGTGTGTCTGTTGGTGCACATTGGTGTTATTTTCATTGGATAGCAGTGTTGACACCACACTTACACAACACACTTACAACTTATTCACATTTCAACGACACACCACCACTACCACACACACTTACACACACATTTACACACACACCATCTATTCACCACACCACCAATTGAAGCACCAGCCTTTTAGTCCATTACATATTTATGTTCCTAATTTAATTTCCTTCTTGCTACTCATGCCACACACGTGCCGATACATCTCCAACATTACTCCACATGTTAAACCCTTTCTTCTTCCCCCTCCTTCCTCTCCCCCTTCTTTTATTATCTCTAATCTCTTCCTCCTCGCCCTGCCTGCGAAGCCCCTCTTTCCAGTCTGCCTTCCCACAACACACACACACACACACACACACACGCACGGCACGCGACACACACACACACACACACACACACCACACACACACACACACACACACACAACACACACACTCCTCTGTAGCAGTAACTCAGAGAAAAGGGACAAAAAGAATAGGAAACTGTTGGTATTATGACACCAAAGGCAGCGATTCACACACGTTTAAGAGGAGGACCTATTTAAATGTAACACAGCTGCCATGAATTTATTAGGTAATGGGATTTTAATTTATTACCCTGTGAGGATTCCTGTTTTTTTCATTTTAATTGGCTGATGTAGCTCACTATTCAGGGAATAATGTATCTACTATAGAAGCTCAGTTACTCACAGTGTTTGACCTTTCATTTATGGGTACGATACTTTTAAAATGGGCATGTGACTTAAAAAGGACAAGAATGCTGTGTACCTTTTGTTCTTTTTAACATCTGAATAATGTGCAGCTCAAGGAAATATTATGTGAATCAATCAATATCTACATTATTACTGCCATAGAGGAACTCAGCTTTGTGGGAATGCTGCTTTTATTTCTTGATAGAGAGTTGATTACGGTTGATAATAACCAATGACTGCAGGCAGCCGGATCCTTCTGCAGGGGTTCCACTGATCCACTTCAACCCAAAATACAGAAACACCTGCTCTGCACAGGTGCATCGGCAGCAGAGAGGGAGATGAGAGAGAGATGGGAGAGAAGAGACGAGAGAGGATGGTGAGAGTCACAGAGCCCGGATTTTGTGAGGAGAAGAGAGATGAGAGGAGAGAGAGATGAGGAGAGAGAGAGATGGGATGAGAGAGAGAGAGAAGAGATAGATAACCTGCTTTCAAATAATACAGATATCAAACAGAAAAGATACAGTCGATTCCAGGTCAGAGTACCAGCCACATAACTATTCAATTTGCTTAAGTCCATTCTATGTAGTTCAAAGATAACATGCAATGGTAACAAGTAAAAAACCCACTTCTAAACGAAGGATCCCAGCCTTAGAATTCACAACAGCAAAATGTGTTGCAATATCTGTCTGTAAATTCCACTTTAACTTTGTTTAGACTCCAAATTACAAAGTATTTGTAGCGTTACTGAACATTAGGTTTATATTATTATTCCCACTGGATTATTCACACA